CTTGCAACAGTGCCCCACACATCTTTGGTGCTTCATAAATGTTATTTATTATCATTAACTGACTTTCCAAAGAAGCCAATGAGTGGCCAATGCAGGATTTGAATCCAAGTCCATTTGAAACCAAAACCTGAGCTCCTTACCATGACAGCCCTTTTTCACAACTTTAACTCAGCACGATTCTCCCCCTTTTCTCCTAAATGCTGGTGAAACCCAAGGGATGTTCCTTCTCCCATCCCACTAGCAATTACTTCCTTTTGCATTCTCCTGAGGTTCATACACAAAAACTTGTCAAGCCGGCTGGTCCCTCTGAGAAGCAGTTTATGCCCACACCCTGCAAAAGCTTTTGCCTCACTGGTATACTTCATTTGCTTTGGGTAATGCCATTCTTTTTTTTTTTTTTTAAAGATTTTATTTATTTATTTATTTGAGAGAGAGAGAGAGAATGAGAGAGAGAGAGAGCACATGAGAGGGGGGAGGGTCAGAGGGAGAAGCAGGCTCCCTGCCGAGCAGGGAGCCCGATGCGGGACTCGATCCCGGGACTCCAGGATCAAGACCTGAGCCGAAGGCAGTCGCTTAATGAACTGAGCCACCCAGGCGCCCCAAGGGTAATGCTATTCTTTTAAATATAAAGGACAGGTAATCTAAGTAATACTGTCCATGGTCTTTGATCTAGGCATGCAGCAGCTGCAGCTGTGAGGTGACATGCTTGCTTTCATGCACTATCTGCCTGCCTTGTATCTAAGCATTATCCTTCTCATATTTGACATGAAAATATTGGGTCAATATCTGAAAGAGTAATGCAGTTCCCTGGAAGATGTTGCATTAATCATTTTTAAAAAAATTTTTCTATATTTTATAATGTTTTGGTATCTTAAAAAGCTTTCAGTAGGGGAGAGCCTGCTCCCCCCAGGGCTACTCTGTTCTTAGAGACAGATAGCAGAGGGCTCAGCTGGGAGCACATCTTCCATATGCAAGGCAACGAATCCCTAGTTTATAGCTCCAAGGTCCTCTAACTGGAACCCGCCAAGCCTGTGTTTCCCCTGCCTGAAATCATCCCAGAGCCAGGTACCAGGCAACTAGAGAGCACCCCTATAGCCCAGAGCCCACTGACATTATTCAAACTAGCTAGTCCTAAATCCGGGCATTCCCCTCCCCACTCTCTTCTGCCACCAGGTGACATCAATACTTGGTGCTTCCTCTGTGGCTCTGCATGGCACATGGTTATCCCCCCTCTAAGACCTGTGAGTACAATAAATTGCTTCCTTGAAGAAGAAGAGCCTCATTCTCATTTCTTCCTGTGGCTACACCAGCTTGACCATACTATCTCCAACACTTAGATTCTCAAAACAGGTATTATAAATTGATTTTTTTCCCTAAAAAATACACTGGATTTATATGTATTGTTAAAACACTACTAATGCATGTTAATTATACCTAAATGAAAATATATAGTACAGAACACTGTTAGACTCTAAGGAAAATTTAAGACAAAAGATAACACCTATGTCATACTATTTCAATTAAACCATCACTTTCCTTTTTAAGTCTGCCTTCTAACTTTGTTCCATATGCATTCCTCTTTATATGATTAACATATAAGAAAATGTTAATTATCTACACTAATTACAGTGCTCAGATTTGTAAAACACTTTCTATCTCATTTTGAGACCGTAAAAAGAAAAGGAGTGATTAGAGAAACAGGATGGAAACTAGAAGAGAGTAGTGTCCAGATGCCCAAGAAGGAAAACATTTCTAGAAGGGAGTGATGCGCCATGTCAAATGCTAGTGAAAGATCCAGCAACAAGAGATCTGAACATGCTTATGGGATTTAGCAACGTGTTTTAATAAAGTATTGGCAAATCTTTCGTAAGTTTGGCTGTGAGAAGGGAAGGAAGAAAATGTGATGGGGCTGGAGATGCAATGAGACTAAGAGATTTGTTTGTTTTGGTTTTGCTTTTTAGATAAGAAAGACTTAAAAATGTTTAATTTTTATTTATTTTTAAAGATTTTATTTATTTATTTTTGTGAGAAAGAGAGAGCATGAGCGGGGGAGTGGCAGAGGGAGAAGCAGACTCCCTGGGATCCCAATGTAGGGATCCTGATGCTGGACTCGATCCCAGGACCCTGGGATCATGAACCGAGCCAAAGGCAGACACTTAATAGACTGAGCCACTCAGGTGCCCTGACTTAAGAATTTTTAAATAAAGATTGGGAGAATCTAGTTGAGAGCTAATGCTTAGATATCCAGAAGAGAAAATGAATCATTGGTAGTGTAAGTTTTATATGAAGGAGAGGAGGAGATAAGGGTTAGTTTCAATAGGATAGACACCAACCACTCCTGTGGCAACAGGAAGAAGATCGGTTCAGATGTAGGTGGGTTATTTTTGTTTTGGGAAGATGAGTGAGTTTTTCAATATAGACACTGACAAAGCAGATAGCTGGAATTTTGATTGACAAGTACAATCAAAAAACAAATGGTCATCAGCGTTTATGGTATTGGAAAGAGTGTTCTTGAAATGATGGACCATAACGTTTCGCTGAATATAGAAAGGCATGAAAGATGGAGAAGGCTGATGGAAGGGGAGAAACTAGATGGGTAAATAGATTAGAGGCCTGATTAGCTAGAATAGTCTCAGTGAGTCATGAAATACAGAGGTTGGAAGGGTTGTGGCCAGAATGTAGAATGATGTTTTGGATAGGTTTATTTTTAATGTCAAGACCTAGTATATGGTCATAAGGAGGGATGGCTGGAGTAGGATGGAGGAGAAGGTCACTAGAAATGAGAAGGTCCTACAACTGAATGACCAAGATCTTGGGTTAGCTGTTTGTATGAATGTTGAGTTGGAGGAGAACGTGTGAGCCAGGTGCTCAAATGTGGTGGATAAAGGCAGTGGGGAGGAAACAACAGGGTCATGACTGAATGACCTCCCTCCTGAACTCTATTCTTGAATTTCCAGATGTCTGGCCAATATCCCCACTTAGATGTCTAATAGACATCTTCAAATTAACAATGTGGTCATGCCTAGAAACAGGGGGGACTAGAAAAAGTCTTTTTTTGTGGGCACATAATTAGCCTAAAAATAAAGTTGGGGTTCTATTGCAATGAAAAAATTGGAAAGTGGATATCATTAGACAATAAATGGTCTCTCCCACATTGTGTAACACTCATATTACCAGATTTTTACAACAGTGAAAATTCAGGTAGCCTCAGAAGTTAAGGGGAGTATCCAGAAAACACAAAGAACTCTTAGAATTCAAAACTAAAAGACAACCCAATTGTAAAGTGAGGAAAGGACTTGAATAGACATTTCTCCAAAGAAGATATACAAATGACCAAAAAGTACATGAAAAGATGCTTGATATCATTAGTTATTAGGGAAATGCAAATCAAAATCATGAGATACCACTTTACACTCACTAGGATAGCTGTAATTTTAAAAAAGGAAAATAACAATCATTGGCAAAGATGTGGAGAAATGAGAATACTTGTACATCACCGTGGGAATGTAAAATGGTTCAGCTGTGGAAGATCGCTTAGCAATTCCTAAAAGAGGTAAACACAGAGTAACCATGTGACTCAGCAATTCAACCCCTAAATATATACCCAAAAGAACTGAAAATAGTTTTTTGAGAGAATTTAAAAACAAATTCTTGTACGTGAATGTTCATAGCAGCATTGTTCACAATAACCAAAGATGAAAACAACCCAAACATCCATAAATAGATAAGTGGATAAACAGATTTTGATATAGCCATACAATGGAATATTATTTGGCTATAAGAAGGAATGAAGTACTAATACATGTTACAATATGGGTGAGCCTTGAAAAAATTATGTTAAGTGGATGAAGTCAAACATCAAAGGTCACTTATTGTATGATTCCATTTATATGAAATATCCAGAATAGGTAAATCCATAGAAACAGAAAGCAGACTGATGGCAGCCAAAGTTTTGGGAGAGAGGGGGGAATGGGGAGCAACTACTTAATGAATACAAAGTTTTCTTTTGGAATGATGAAAATGTTTTGGAACTACTATATAGAGGTGGTGGTAGCTCAACACTGTGAAAGTACTAAATGTCACTGAAGTGTTCAGTGTAAAGTGGTTAATTTTATGTGAATTTCATCTCAATTTTAATAAAAAGAAAAAATTGGGGCGCCTGGGTGGCTCAGTCGTTAAGCGTCTGCCTTCGGCTCAGGTCATGATCCCGGGGTCCTGGGATCGAGCCCCGCATTGGGCTCTCTGCTCAGCGGGGAGCCTGCTTCTCCCTCTCCTACTCTGCCTGCTTGTGTTCCCTCTCTCACTGTCTCTCTCTGTCAAATAAATAAATAAAATCTTTAAAAAAATAAATAAAGAAAAATTAAAAAAGAAAAAGAAAAAATTAAGCAGAAGAGTTTTAGTATTAAGAATGATAGAAAAATCATTTATCAAGATTCAGCAAATTTTTTAACTGATTACATGTGTTCTCACTATATAGAGTATTTCAAACACAGCACAAAGTGTAAGTGCCAAATTTCTTTTCTGCTATGGAAAGACAAGCCTGTGTTAGGAAAACAGTTTTGTGCTTCTTGACAGTTGTGGAGTTTGAAAACCCAGTGATAAAGAATTTTTCTCCACCACCATCAAGAAGAAAGAAAAGATGAAGAAGAAGGTGGGAGCACCTGTCTGGCTCATTTGAAAGAGCATTTGACTCTTGACTTTGGGGTCATGAGTCCACAATAGGTGTAGAGATTACTTAAATAAATAAACTTAAAAAAAAAAAAAAAGAAGAGGAGGAGAGACAGACAGAGGAAGTGAGGGAGTAATAAAAAAAGTTGGTTTCCCATCTAAGTGTAAAGTACTAAGAAACAGATTTTTCCCCTGGTATAAGAAAAACTTGGTGTTCTAAAAGACAATGATTTCTAACCTAGAATTCTGTACCCAGCCAAATTATCCATGAAGCATGAAGATAGAATAAAGACATTTCCAGATATGCAAGATCTCGAAAATTTCTCTTCTAGGCCACTTTCTCAGAAAGAAAGTGAGTGGAGCATGAAGGAGAAAACCATGAAAAAGGAACTCACGGAATCCAAGAAACAGGAGATCCAGCCCAGGAAAGAGGCAAGAGAAGGTGCCGCCGCAGCAGCTGCCCAGCAGGCCTGGAGAGGAATCAGTCCCAACCAAAGCAGAAGAACAGAGAACTGCAAGGTGGGGGAACGTCTCCAAAAAAAAAAAAAAAAAAAAAAAAAAAATTGAAAATAAGGTGATAGATTACCTGATATGTTTGAATCTCTTGAGAGGAAATTTCAGTTTCTGTCAGAGATTTTGTGGATGGATTGGTGATAAATACACAGAAAACTAAGTGTAGCCAATTTGTTGAACAGATGGGAACTCTGGGGTGTAGGAAGAAAGAAGTTTATTCTTGGATGCAAAGTTTATTCTTTGCATATTCAAATTGTTCTTCCCCCATACCCTTGAGTGAAGTGTAGGGCAAGTCTCATGGATTTTTTAGTCACTCTCAGGTAATAAAATTCTCTTGGTCATTTAAAACCTCCAGACAACCTCGGTTCAGTAATTCAAAAGTCCACGCTCATGCATTAAGCTGAACCATATGAAGTTGCCATTTGTGGGAGTCAAAAATGGTTGAATATTGGCAATTTCATTTGATTCACTCTAATAAGAGTCAAAACTCCCAAATTTATTTAAGATAAAATAATCTCTCCCTCTGCCACATAAACCTGCTTTAGACTGGCCACCTGAGGTAGAAAGGGAGGCCCAGTGGGCTTCTTTACTTCCCCGCAGGGCCTTCCAGCATCCTTCTCCACCAGGAGACTGTCTCTGGTTCCTCCTGGATAGAAGAGGCCTGTGTAGACAGGAGAGAAGACGCAGTATGGCATTCTCTGACCGTGGCAGAGGTTCACAATGGACTCTTCCTCTTCCAGGGTGCTTTTGACTTGTGTGATTTTTCCAGGACACTCCTCCATCCCCGATCCCTGAGCTCTGATCTGCTTTATGGGTGGGGCCTTGCTCAACCAGAACCCCTTGATTTTTTTTTTACTTTTATTTTTTTTATTAACATGTATTTTTATTTTATTTTTTTTTTAAAGATATTTATTTGAGAGAGAGAGAATGAGAGACAGAGAGCACGAGAGGGAAGAGGGTCAGAGGGAGAAGCAGACCACTCGCTGAGCAGGGAGCCCAATGTGGGACTCGATCCCGGGACTCCAGGATCATGACCTGAGCCGAAGGCAGTCGCTTAACCAACTGAGCCACCCAGGCGCCCTTTTTTATTAACATATAATGTATTATTTGTTTCAGGGGTACAGGTCTGTGATTCATCAGTCTTACACAATTCACAGTGCTCACCACAGCACATACCCTCCCCAGTGTCCATCACCCAGCCACTCCATCCCTCCCACCCCCCTCCACTCCAGCAACCCTCAGTTTGTTTCCTGAGATTAAGAGTCTCTTAGGGTTTGTCTCCCTCTCTGGTTTCGTATTGTTTCATTTTCCCCTCACTTCCCCTATGATCCTCTGTCTTGTTTCTCAAATTCCTCATATCAGTGAGATCATATGATAATTGTCCTTCTCTGATTGATTTATTTCGCTTAGCGTAATACCCTCTAGTTCCATCCACGTCGTTGCAAATGGCGAGATTTCAATTTTTTGATGGCTGCATAATATTCCATTGTATATATATACCACATCTTCTCTATCCATTCATCTGTTGATGGACATCTAGGTTCTTTCCATTGTTTGGCTATTGTGGACATTGTGTAAACATTGGGATGCACGTGCCCCTTCGGATCACTACATTTGTATCTTTGGGGTAAATACCCAGTAGTGCAATTGCTGGGTCATAGGGTAGCTCTATTTTCAACTTTTTGAGGAACCTCCGTGCTGTTTTCCAGAGTGGCTGCACCAGCTTGCATTCCCACCAACAGTGTAGGAGGGTTCCCCTTTCTCCGCATCCTCGCTAACATCTGTCGTTTCCTGACTTGTTAATTTTAGCCATTCTGACTGGTGTGAGGTGGTATCTCATTGAGGTTTTGATTTGTATTTCCCCGATGCCAAGTGATGTTGAGTACTTTTTCATGTGTCTGTTGGCCATTTGGATACAGAAGACCCCTTGATTTTATGACCACTTATAATTCTGGCCTCAGCCCCCAGACATGCAACCTCTTTTGACTGGGGTCACCTCACTCCTCGGGAAAAACCTCTTAGACCAGATCCAAGCTGGTGTTTCCCCAGCACGGCTCAGTCTAGTCCTCAGGATACTGTCCAGCACCTGAAACAGCACCTCTGTTTCTTTCTGCCCCATCAGAGGAGCTAGCCAGCCACACATGGTAGGTGTGACTCAGGCATCACCTACCATGTCACCTGAGCTTCAGGAGACACATCAAGTTCATCAGGAGGTCTTACTGAAGTGCCTTCCTTTTCTCATTCCCACAAACTGGCGGAAGTGTACTCACAGCTCATTAATGCTCTCCAAACATTTTCTTTGATCTTGAGAAATTTCAACAGTCCTTTCATGCTCTTGAATGGGTAGGGACCAAAAGTAACAAAACCAGTTTTTATTTTTTTAATTTCATAGACTTCATTTTTCGGGCAGTTTTAGGTTCACAGCAAAATTAGAATAGAGTAGAAGTACAGAGAATTCTCATATACTCCCTACCCCCACACATGCACTGCCTACTCCACTATCAACATCCTCCACCAGTGGGTACATTTGTCACAGCCCATGAACCTACATGGACACATCATTATCACCCAAAGTCCGTAGTCTACATTAGGGCTCACTTTTGCTGTTGTACATTCTGTGAATTTGGACAAAGGTATAATGACATCTATCCACCATTATAGTATCATGTAGAGTTTCATTGCCCTAAGAGTCCTCTGTGCTCTGCTTATTCATCCCTCCACCTAAACCCCCGGGGGCCACTGATCTTTAATTGTCTCCATAGTTTTGCTTTTTCTAGAATGTCATACAGCTGGAATCACACAGTATGTAGCCTCTTCAGATTGGCTTTTTTCACTTAGTAATGTGCATTTTAGTTTCCTCCATGTGTTCTCATGGCTTGATAGCTCATTTCTTTTTAGTGCTGAATAATATTTCATTGCCTGGATGTAGTACAGTTTATTTATCCATTCACCTACTAAAGGATATCTTGGTTGCTTCCAGGTTTTGGCAATTATGAATAAAGCTGGTATAACCAGCTTTTAGTCGCCTCTTTTACAAGTCCCGCCTAGGCAGACTTACTTTGGAATGGGGAAGCATCAGCTGAAAGTGAGACTGAAATAGTTCCCTATCTACATCTTGTGACAAAAGAAAATGAAACATCAAGGCAACTTGTAACTTTGGGGGGGGGAAGTTACAGAAGAAATGAAATGTAATCATACTTTACATGGCTTAGTGGTGAATACTACTTATATAGGCTTAATAATGTAAATATTAAATATTGATTGCATCAATAATTATGATAGATATTGGAACAACTGAGAAGGGGAAATTACTGTGTTGGAGTGGGTGGGAACAGGACTAAGAGAACTAATTCTCATCTTCCGTGGTAGACAGTCAACAGATCTAAATGGAAGAATCAAGAAATATCAGTATAGGCATGTCCTTTAGAATATGAAGGAAGAGGAGTGCCTGGCTGGCTTAGAAGAACATACGACTCTTGATCTTGGGGTTGTGAGTACAAGCCCCATGTTGGGTGTAGAGATTACTAAAAAATAATAAATAAACTATTAAAAAAAAAGAAATATAGGGGCGGCTGGGTGTCTCAGTCAATTAAGCATCTGCCTTCGGCTCGCATCATGGTCTCAGGGTCCCAGGATCAAGCCCCACTTTGGGCTCTCTGCTCAGTGGGGAGTCTGTTTCTCCTTCTCACTCTCCCTCTGTGCTCTCCCTCTCTCTCTCTCTCAAATGGATAAATAAAATCTTAAAAAAAAAGAGAAATATAAAGGAAGATACCTGAAGAAAAGAGTTGAAAGTGAGTAGATGGGGGTGTTGTTTTTCATGATAAGCTTCTTAAAACTATTTGTCTCTTTTAAACTATGGGTGCATATTACTTTAAGAAACTTAATTTTTTAAAAAGGTTTATTTATTTACTTTAGAGAGAGAGAGAAAGTGAGAGAGAGCAGGGGGAGGGGCAGAGGAAGAGGGGACAGAGAATCTCAAGCAGGCTCCCCACTGAGCATGGAGCCCTGCCATGGGGCTCAATCCCATGACCCTGAGATCATGACTTGTGCCAAAACCAAGAGTCGGACGCTTGACTGACTGTACCACCCAGGTGCCCCAAGAAACTTAATTTTTAAAACTACATAATAAAACATAGACATTATCTAGAGAGCAGATAATACTTGAGTATAATAAGAGCACTTTTGCTCTTATTGAGAAATAATTTGCATGAAGCCAAAAGCTATTTTGTATGACCGAAAAGCTTTCTAATTCCAGGGGAAATGACTCCCTGTAGCCTTCTGCCTCCAGTAGGATATGAAAACATACCCTCCTATTTCCAAATAACCTTGAGATAAGCAATGGATTCTCCTATAGGATCAATTTAAACTTACATCATGAGGATTTTGTTTTTCCAACTGACTTACCTGGTATTAAATTTGAGAGATAACCATGTCAGCTGAGCCAATAGGAGCTACCTTGTTGACCTAGAACTAACTCATGATCACTACTTCTCATTTCACCCTGGAGCCCATAGCATCCCTGTACAAAATCCTATCAAGATTTTTTAGGACAGTCGGTAAGAGAAAAAGACCAGGCAGAGATATGTTCTTTATGTAACCTCCATGAAGGCAGGGAGGGGCCTGTCTGTTTTGTTCATCTCAGTATTCTCAGTGCGTGGCACATAATTAATGCTTAGTAGATATCTAAGTATGTATTGAATAAATAAATTGAATGACTGTTACTCCCCATTTTCCTGAGGTCTGTGAGCATTAGAATAAAGTTATCATAAATTATATCTATAGTTCATAGATACATATAAAAAAATCAATAGGTAAGATAGCTCTTAGAAAAGGGTACATCAATGGGTATTTTGGGAAACAGTCAATTACGAATATAGGAAATGTAAAATCTACAAGTTGCATGAGGAGATACGCCAAGAATGCTGATAGTGGCGGTGCCTACAACAGCAAGACATACCACCAACCTAAATGTCCGTCAACAGAAGACTGGGTAAGTACAAGGGGCTACACCCATGTGATGGTGTACAGAAGTGAAAATGAACAAACTAAAGCTACATATGTAAATAGAGATGCACCACCCAAAAATGTCACGTTGAGGGGCAAAAAGTAAGGCACAGAAGAATTTAAATAGTATGATACCATTTATATAAAATTTTAAGGGTCACCTGGGCGGCTCAGATGGTTAAGCGTCTACCTTTGGCTCGGATCATCATCTCCAGGTCCTGGGATCGAGCCCCGCATCGGGCTCCCTGCTCAGTGGGGAGTCTGCTTCTCCCTCTCCCTCTGCCTCTCCCCTCTGCTCATGCTTGGATAAAGTATTTGCAAATCACATATCTGATAAAGGATTTGTATCCAGAATACAAAGAACCCTAAAGACTCAGATGAATAAATAAAACCTTAAAGAAATGAAATAAAAAGCAATATTGCTTTAGGAAGACTTCATTTGCAATATAAGTATAAAAATTCGTGGAAATAATAAACACCACATATTAAATGAATGAATGAATGCATGAATGAATGAATATGCTTTTTAAAAACCAGCAGCACTCAGGGCACCCGGCTGGCTCAGTTGGAAGATCATATGACTCTTTTTTTTTTTTAAGATTTTACTTACTTATTTGAAAGAGAGAGAGTGAGTGAGAGAGCATGAGCATGGGGAGGGGAAGAAGCAGACTCCCCTGCTGAGCAGGAAGCCCAATGTGGGGCTCAATCCCAGGACCCTGGGATTATGACCTGAGCCGAAGCAGTCGCCTAGCCAGCTGAGCCACCCAGGCGCCCAGCATGTGACTCTTGATCTCGGGGTTGTGAGTTTGAGCTCCACATTGGGTGCAGAGATTATTTAAATAAATTAAAGACTTAATAAAACAATAAATAAAAACTACCATTCCTCAAGTGAAGATGTTTTCTTTGAAATAAAAAGCACTTTATTTTTGTTACTTTTTAAAAAAAAGATTTTGTATTTTTAAGTAATCTCTAGGCCCAATGTGGGGCTCAAACTTACAACTCTGAGATCAAGAGTAGCATGCCGTACTGACTAAGCCAGCCAGGAAGGTACCCCTATTTTTGAATAGGTGATTATGTATTATGCACATTCAAAAGAAAACTGAAAGGTATTTCAGCAAAAAAGTCTTTTCCCCACCTTATCCCCGGCTACTCAATCCTTCTCTTCAAAGGCAAATACTGTTATCACATTTTTATGCTTCATTTCAGACCCCTGGAATCCAGAGGTGGTCTGTTCATTAACAAACACATGTTTTCTGTACCTGCCACAAATCTTCTGACTTTTTTTTCTTGATGAGTCTGGATAGAGGTTGATTTTTTTTTTCCTTCGGAAGAATGAGCTTCTGTTTTCATAGATTTTCTCTATTATTACTGCTTTCTATTTTATTGATATCTGCTCATATCTTTATTGTTTCTGTAATTCTGCTTGCTTAGGATTTAATTTCTTTTTCTAGTTTAAGGAAGAGACTTAGATTACTACTGATTTGAGACTTTTTTTTTTTTTTTTGCTTTTCCAATACAAACATTTTAATACTACAAATTTCCCTCTAAAGATTGCCTTAACTGCATCCCCAAGTTTTTGGTATGTTGTAATTTCATTTTCATTCAGTTCACAGTGCTTTATATTTCTCATTCCTGTGAGAAACACTTATCAACTAGAGGACAGTGTTTATGTGCAGTTCTTTTGCCTTTAGCTTTACAATTTCCAGTCAAAGCACTTTTCCAAAGTTAATTAGGGTCAGCTCTTTTTTTTCCCATCCCCGCCAGTGAGATTCATTTGTCACGGTCTCTAATTCCATCTTGGGAACCTTGGACATCTTTACTGATTTTTAAACATTTGCATACAGTAAGGTTTACTCTGTAAGGGCTTGGGAAAATGCAGTCATGTGTCCACGACATCGGTAACATAAAGAACAGTTCAATCACCTAAATACCTAAACACTAGATGTAGGATTTTAGTCAGCTACCTCCCCCACCCCAACCCCTCACAACCACTGATTTGTTTTCTGTCCCTATAATCTTGCCTTTTTCAGAATGTCATAAAAATGGAAGCAAACAATTTGTAGCCTTTTGGGTTTCATTTTTTTTCACCCATAATGATGCAATTAAGATTCATCTATGTTGTTTCATGAACATATCTATGCTCGTTGCTGAGGAGGGTCCCACTGCATGGATGGACCACTGTTTACCTATTCGCCTATTGAAAGACATCTTGGTTGTTTCCAGGTTTGGCTGTTAAGAAGAAAGCTACTATAAACATTAGTGCAAGGGCTTCATGTGAACATAAGTTGCTGGGTTGAATGGCAAGTGCATGTTTAACTTTAAAAGAACTTGCCAAGTACCTTCCCAAGTGGTGTACTGTTTTGCATTTCTATCCGCAATGAATAAGCATTCCTGTTGCTCTTCATTCGTCTATTTGGTGTTGTTGGTTTATTTTTATTATTTTTTGGCTATTCTAAAAGGTGTGTAATGATATCTCTTTGTGAGTGTATGTATGTGTGTTTTATTTGCATTTCCCTAATGACATCTTTTCACATGTTTATTTGACACCCACATATCTCTGTAACTTCTTTCGTGAAGTGTCTATTCAATTCTTTTGCCCATTTTTCCCTTGGGTTTTTTTGTTGTTGTTTTTTTAAGATTTTATTTATTTGACAGAGAGAGACACGGTGAGAGAGGGAACACAAGCAGGGGGAGCGCGGAACAGAGAAGCAGGCTTCCCGCAGAGCAGGGAGCCCGACGCGGGGCTCGATCCCAGGACCCTGGGATCATGACCTGAGCCGAAGGCAGACGCTTAACGGCTGAGCCACCCAAGTGCCCCTCCCTTGGGTTTTTTGTTTTCTTATTGTTGAGTCTTTAGGGTTCTTTGTATTCTGGATACAAATCCTTTATCAGATATGTGATTTGCAAATACTTTATCCAAGTCTGTAGCTTGTTTCTCATTCCCTTTGCAGTCTCTCTCCTCGTTCTTTTTTTTTTTTTTAACCATTGATTATTATTCCATTGTAAGAATTTGTCGTAATTTATTTAGCCAGTCTTAGGTCGATGGACATTGATGTTATTTCCAAACTTTTGCTATTACAAACTGTATTTCCATTAATATCCTTGAATTCATGGTGTTCATCCTTCCTTCCTTCCTTCCCTCCCTCCCTCCCTCCTTCCTTCCTTTCTTCCTTCGTTTAAGAGAGGGAGAGAGTTGCAGGGGGCAGAGGGAGAAGGAGAGAGAGAATCTTAAGCAGGCTCCATGCCCAGCAAAGAGTCCGATGAGGGGCTTCATCTCACAACCGTGACATGAGCTGAAAACCAAGGGTCAGTGCTTAACTGACTGAGCCACCCAGGCACCCCTCATGGTGTTCTTTCTTTCTTTTTTAAGATTTTATTTATTTATTTGATAGAGAGAGACACAGCGAGAGAGGGAACACAAGCAGGGGGAGCGGGAGAGGGAGAAGCAGGCTTCTCGAGGAGCAGGGAGCCTAATGTGGGGCTCGATCCCAGGACCCTGGGACCATGACCTGAGCTGAAGGCAGACGCTTAATGACTGAGCCACCCAGGCGCCCCTCATGGTGTTATTTCTAAGAACAGCTTGTTTTTCCTTTCCCATGAACTGTCTGTTGCTATCTTTTACCCATTTTTCTATTGGGTTTTAATCTTTTTGTAATTCATAGGACATGTTATAATTCTTTACATGTTATAAAATTTGTCTTTCTGGGGCGCATGGCTGGCTCCATCAGAGGAGCCTGTGACTCTTGATCTCAGGGTCATGAGTTTGAGCCCCGCGTTGAGTGTAGAAATTACTTAAGTAAATAAAATAAACTTTAAAAATAAAATAAAGCTTGCCTTTCTGTGCTTCAGATGCAATTTTTTTCCAGTTTGTCATTTGCTTCTTTACTTCCCATGATTATATTTTATTTTCATGAAATCAAATATAACAATCTTTTCCTTTAAGTCTTCTGAATTTTGTGTTATAATCAAAAGGGTCTTCTCCACTTCTCCCAGAAACTCTTTTGGTACTTTTATGGTTTCCCTCTTTCCATTTAAATCCTTGATCCATTTGGCATTTTTCCAGGTGTAAGATATGAAGGATGGATTTAACTCTTTTTTCCCCACAGGTGTTTTGTAGTTGTCCCAAATCATTTATTGCATGAAATCTCTTATCTTCACCAATTTGAAATACCACCTTTATTGAATAATAAATGCCTACCTGTATTTGTGTCTATTTGGGAATTTCTCTTCTGCTGATTTGTTGAACTAATTAGACACTAATATCTAACAGGTTTTGTTTTTGTTTTTGTTTTGTTTTGTTTTAAGGTAAACTCTACACTCATTGTCGGGCTTACATTCATGACCCAGAGATCAAGAGTCGCATGCTCTACTGAGTGAGCCAGCCAGGAGCCCAGGTAACAGTTTTAACTAGTACGACATGATAATATGTTTATTACTTGGGCAGGCACTTTCAGAAATGTTTTCTTGTTAGTTTTTCCACAAGAAGACTTGGCTCATCTAGTTCCAAAATAAAGTCTTGCTTTTTTTTTTTTAATTAGGATCTCCATAGGGGCACCTGGGTGGCTCAGTCAGTTAAGCGTCTGCCTTCAGCTCAGGTCATGATCCCAGGGTCCTGTGACTGAGCCCCAGGTCAGGCTCCCTGCTCAACGGGGAGCCTACTTTTCCCTCTTCCTCTGTAGCTCCCCCTACTTGTGCTAGCGCCCTCTGTCTCTCTATCTGTCAAATAAATAAATAAAATCTTAAAAAAAGGATCTCAATATCTCTGATATCTTAATGATGCAGAGTCTTGCTAGTCAAGAACATAGCTTATATTTCTATTCAAGTCTTTTTCTGCATCCTTCTGTAGAATTTAAATCTTCTCTTCGTATAGATTGTGCATCGTTATTGTAAAATTTATTCCTAGGAATTTTCTTTTTTTTTACTGATTTGTAAATGATGTCTTTTTTTGACAAAAAGATGTCAAGATGTCATCATGATGTCACGATGTCAAGATGTAATGATGTCATTTCATCTTCTAAGATAAAATGCTCTCCCTCTAAGATGCTGAAATAGCCCCAGAGGAGCAGTCTACCTCAAATAATCCTGAGAATTACTGGACTAGCAAGTAGTTCTCAACTGTGTTTGCCCTTGCAACATATACTATGAGTGATTTTGACATACACCAATCAAACTTACAGGTGTTCCTTGTTTTTTTAGGGACTCTAGCACAAATGAGAGGCTGTGGTTCTTCAGTAGCTGATGGAAATGTATGTGTACAGGCACTGTCTTAGGGGCCAGGGACACCATGATGATCAAGACAGCCTGAGTCCCTGCTCTCATGGAAGTTGATCACATAGTCCTAGCCAAACAGAGCGAACTCAGCAGAAAATCAAATAATTATAAGGGTGCAATGTTCTGCTAAGGGGCCATGAGAGTGTAGCAGAGGTCATTCATCAGGTGTTAACATCCACTAACATCCACACCTGAGGCTTCAATTAACTCTCAAATGCTACCCACTCACACATTACATTTCCAGTTCTGACTCTCCTCTGAGCTCCAGACCTGCCATTTGCACTTCCCAACAGGAGGTGGAGTCTAATCCCCCTCCCTTTGGATCTGGACAGGCTTACGTCTCATTTGTAGCCAGGACACTACAGCAGACGTGACTCTATATGATGTCCGAGGCTAGGTCACATAAGGCAAATGCAACTCTGCCTTGCTCTCCGGGACATTCACTCTTGAAGCCTTCAGCCACCGTGTAAACAGTCTGACAGCCCTGAGGTCGCCATGCTGTGAGGAAGCCCATAGTAGCTCATGCAGAGGCCCCGTGGACAGTCTCTGAGGCTCCATGAAGAGGGAAAGGCCCGGCCAGCCCCCAGGTGTTCTATCACCCAGTGGTCCAGTTCTACATTAGAAACCCAAGTTAGAAGAGTCTAGCCAAACTCTTTCCGAATTCCTGACCCATGGATCTATGAGAGATGATAATATGATTACTGTTCTTTTAAGCCACTCCATTTGGAAGTGATTTGTTTTGTAGCAATAGTAACTAGCATCTGGGCCATGTGGTTTTGTACATTTTTTCCTCCTACTTGGAACCCTTTCTGCACCCCTTTTGCCTAGTTACCCTGTACATATTCTTCAGATCTTTGCTGAAGCACTGTCCCTAAACCTTGAAACCTGGGTTCATAGTGCCCTCATAATACCATGTACCTTTCTTTCCTGTACTCATCACCATTGCATTTGGAGATTCTCTGACCAGGGTCTGTCTTCCTGACAAGTCTTCAGCTCCACAGAAAAGCATGCAGTTACATAGTAGGCCAGGCGTGGTAAACTTAAATGTCAACAAGAACAGGAAAATAACATAAACAGAGAGACATGGGTAGGGTGGGGACTGCAGTGACATGAAAAGTATGTGCCCACCTATAGGGTGTAGCTGTCACTCTGCAGGCTCTGTGCAGCCAAATCTGCCTCATTTTTAAAGAGCTGATACTAACCCAGATGATTATTACTATTATTTTTTAAAGATTTTATTTATTTGAGAGAGAATGCGCATGCGCACATTCACACAGACGGGGGGTGGGGGTGGGGGGGAGGGGCAGAGGGAGAAGCAGACTCCCCATTGAGCAGGGAGCCCGCAGTGGGCCTGGATCCCATAACCCTGAGATCATGACCTGAGCCGAAGGTAGACGCTTAACCAACTGAGCCACCCAGGTGCCCCCAAACCCAGGTTATTACGTAAGTGTTAGAATGATAGCAACTAATTAAAACTAGAAACACAGATGAAAGAAAAAGGAAGAAAAACAACAACAAGCTGAAGATTTAATACTCCTTAGGGTTTTTTTTTGCGGGGGGGGGGGTGTTTTTGTTTTTCCCTCGGGTCAGCACAGATCAAGCACAGGGCTACAGATTGGTCAGACAATACATATGACCCCTTCAGGTTCAGGTGGTCCCCAGCCACCTGACCACAGGGCTGTTCTCAGCACTCCTTGTTTTTTGAGAATGACTCTGAACTCGCTTTGTGTAATCAAGGAATTGTATTTAACTGAGGCAGAGGTTAGCTGTGGGGCTGACTGGGTTCAGGAGTGGGTCACTTAGATTTGTTTTCTCTCTTTGTATTGTGAGTTAAATTCTCTTCTAAGGGCCTGCAGACTTCTTGACTCTTGCCAATAATAAAGGAATTATTTATTTTTCTTAGAGATGAAGGTGGAAATAAGAAACTGTAACCATTAAGTGCCTGCAGACTTCTTGACTCTTGCCAATAATAAAGGAATTATTTATTTTTCTTAGAGATGAAGGTGGAAATAAGAAACTGTAACCATTAAGTAAATTACACTAAATTCTGTGTTCCTTCCTAGAATGTAAATTATATACATTTATAATAAGGAATGGGAACATGCAAATCAATAAAAACCCTGTGAGAAGTTGATTTTTATCTAAAAAAAAATTATACTTCATGTTATCTATGTATCTATTAAAAAATGGAAAAAGAGGTATCAAGCCATGAAAAAACATGGAGGGAACTTTGCATATTCCTAACAGGAAGAAGCCAATCTGAAAAGGCTACAGACTGCATGATTCCAACTATATGACATTTCTGAAAAAGGCAAAATATGGAGTTGGTAAAAAGATCAGTGATTGCTAGGGGTGAGGGGAGGAAGGGGGAGGCAGTACCCTAAGAACATGTGACCCCTGGAATGACACATGATCGGTCACTAGCAAGAGCAGATCGCAGCTTAGGCTGCTCACAGCAGCACGCTTAGAACTTCACAACTCTAAAGAGAGTCCTATCACTCTTCAGATGGGGAATATGAGACAGGGTATCAAGCTCTACTGATTCTCATGTCCACTGGGTAAGATAGGAAATTGTTCTTCTTTAACTAAGGGGGAAACTGAGGCCCAGCTGTATCAGGATCCAAATTGTGGAATAAAATCCAAAATTGGGATTAGGGAAAAAAAAAAATAGAGGGATCGCCCCTTCAATATATGGAAGGAGGGAAATAAGTGGAGACTGGAAGTCATCTGCCCGTCACTTGGGTCCCCACAGGTGATAGTAAAATGGGTCAGAACATCCCCTTCTACCTTTACACCTCTGAAGAAATTGTGTGGGGACCTCAGCTTTGAGTTTAGAGAAACCCCTCTGTGTCCGCTCCTTTACCCAGTGAGCTATGGGGTCGACTGCTTAGAAGTTAGAAAGAGAAGACAATTCTCCTTTAGCAGAGGGCTGGACAATATCTGACTGTTGCTTACCACTGTCTTGGACTGGCACTAACTGGACAGTGAAAGTCCTTTGACTGTTCTTGATGTACCGAAATTCAATCTCATTGCATTTTACAAGAAGCAGAGTAAGGGGGCCTGGTCCAGAGAAAAGTGTCCTCTGGGCCAGGGGCAAGGTCCCAAAGCCATGTTTGGAGAGGCCCCTTCAGCCACAGGACCTCATATCATGAACTTATGCAGATTAAACTGCATTGCCTTGGCAAGAAAGATTGAGCAATAGCTAGATTGAAAGATACCGAGAAAGATAGGCAGAGAGAAAATAAACCATTTTTAAATAGTGGGGAAGTAGTCCCAGAGTGAGCAGGAAAGAGGACGCCTGGGCATCTGCAGCTCTTCCCCTCACTCACTGTTTCCTGGACCTCTCACAATGCGCACATTATTCTTTGCTGAGTGTGATTCTGGAAGTCCGAAATTCCCCACCATTAACCCCAACCCCCCTAAGACCCCTTTAGTTTATCCAGAGCTGGGTGAAAGAAAGAGCAATCTGGCACTTCTCGCCCTCTGACTATAAAAATAACTGGTTTTATTTATTATGTGCTTCCCCCACTAGAACGTAAGCTCTCTGAGGGCAGGGATTTTTGCCTCTCTGTTCACTTCTATATTCTCAACTCTTGGAGCAGTACTTTGCACACAGCAGACGTTTAATAAACATTTACGGAAGGAGAAACTAAAGGAAGGAGCGAAAGAAGGAACGGAGGCGGAAAAGGAAGGACAGAGAGGAAAACGGGAAGAACGACGGGAGGGGGGCGGAGTTAAGAAGGTCGGCCCAGCCTCGTTGCGGGTCCCCGGGCAGCCCTCAACTCCCAGCAGAACTACAACTCCCAGCAGGCCCCGGGGACCCGGGTGGGCCGCCGCGACCCGGCCCGACCAGGCTCCAGCCCACCAGGCTCCCGGAGTGCCTTGCGAGAGCAGGCGCCGTCGCAGCGCCCGCCGGGACTTGTGGTTCGGACCGCGGGTGGGGGTGGGGCCGGGCATGGAGGCGGGCGGGGGCCGGGGGCGGGCGCAGGCCCCTCCCCCGTCACTTCCTGCGGGGCTGCGGGCGCCGGAGCGGCTCTTCAGCGTTTGCGCCGGCGGCCGCCGCGTCTGGCTTGGCTCCCCCTTCCTCTGACCCCCTCCCCCCGGCCCGGCGGCGCCCGCCTCC